GGCTGAATGGAAAAGAGTGAGTAGTTACAAATTGGTAACAAGCTTCTTAGTGGGTAGTTATTTTAGTAGTTTGCATTTGTAAGCCATTTAACTTGTATTTCATTCTTTATCCTAGGTAATTGGGGAATGTCAACTACATCATCTCTATTTATAGAGATATAGTCTGGCTGAAAACGGGAGAGAAGAAGAGAAAATAGAGAGAAGGCAAGATGTAAGAATGCCTTGAGTTTTGAGAGTTTGGAGAGAAGTCTAACCCAAAAGTAGACTTGTCTGGGGAAATAGCCAAGCCCGGAAAATGATTGGCTGGGGGAATGAGAGCTTAGAGTTAGGTTTCTGGTCTCATTTAAGACGTGAATCTCTTGTAAGTTTTGTGTTGAGTAATAAAATTACAAGTGATTGGGACTTCGGTCCAAAATATATGTTTGTGTGCCTTGAAATGATTTCTTGGTATGTTGCTACTTGAATTTCTTCCGCGGCGTGATTTCTTAGCAGGCTGGTGGGTTTTGATTAGGCAAAATCCACGTCGGTAGATCGCCAAATTCATAGAAAGAAATTTGGGGTCTAACAAGTTGGTATCAGAGCCCCGATTGCGAGAGATGGGGCTGGTATCAAAGTGATTTGGGCATCACGTGTTGTTGTTCTTACAGAGAAGGACATGCAGTTGGGATCAAGGACTTTGTTCGTTGCTGTTTGGTATGGGACAATCAGTAAGTTTTTATTGTTCTTGATTCGAGTTTTGGGAAAAGAATTATAGAAATTTCTTTTTCGTTGTTGGTTTCTTGAAAAAACGGGGTGTTGTTCTAGGGGAAAGTGCAGCGAGTTGTGGGTTTCTTGGTGAAACATGTAAGGATCTTTGATGATCGTGTGGCTGTTTATCTATAATGATGCGACATGTGAAAAAATTCCAGGCGAGATGGGTAATCGAGTTTGATCGGCTACTGCTTTTGCAATAGGAAAGGCAATGAAAGTGGTGGAAATTGAGAACTTTGGTTGTTGCTGGCTGGTTATAGGACTGTTGGTGATGGCTTTGATTCTTGATTTCGTAGGAAATGAAGTAGTGAAAGGCTTCATTTTTTAGTAGGAAACCTTAGAAAGGTAGAGGGGCAGAAAGTTATTTCATGCCTTAGAGTTGAGCTGAGTTTTGGGAACTTGGTACATTCAAGTTGTTTTTCTAAGTATGAGAGAAACGTTTAGAGATTATTGGTGTTGTTGAAACAAAATCGGTGGCATTTGGAGGAGCTATGCTGGTTTGTTTGATGAGGGCATCAAACATTTGAAGTGGGGGAGGTTTGTTACGAGGTAAAATATTGCCTATGACTTTCCTTTGAGTTGATACTTACGAAGTGTTGCTGAGCGACTAAGATGGGTTACTAACAAGTGTTGATGGTTCGAATCACGGGTTGGAAGTGGCTTGACCTGTGCAAGAAAGCAAAGGGAGGCTGAATGGAAAAGAGTGGGTGGTTACAAATTGGTAACAAGCTGCTTAGTGGGTAGTTATTTTAGTAGTTTGCATTTGTAAGCCATTTAGCTTGTGTTTCATTCTTTATCCTAGGTAGTTAGGGGATGTCAACTACATCATCTCTATTTATAGAGATGTAGTCTAGCTGAAAACAAGAGAGAAGAAGAGAAAAAAAATAGGAAAAGGCAAGATGTAAGAATGCCGAAATCTAACCCAAAAGTAGACTTGTGTGGGGAAATAGCCAAACCCGGAAAATTAGTGGCTGGGGGAATGAGAGCCTAGGTTTCTTATCTCATTTGAAACGTGAATCTGTTTAAATTTTGTGTTGAGTAATAAAATTACAAGTGATTGGGACTTCGGTCCAAGATATATGTTTACGTGCCTTGAAATGATTTCTTATTATGTTGCTAAGTGAATTTCTTCTACTGCGTGATTGCTTAGCAGGTTGGTGGGTTTTGGTTGGGCAAAATCTACGCCGGTAGATCGTCAAATTCATATCATAGGAGTTGAATTTGACCAAATCAATGCCAAAAATGAACTCATCACGCCGAAATTAGGGGGGGAAGGATCTCTTCAAAATTTTCATGACGTGGTGGTCAACAAGTTGACTTTGACCGATCAACTCTCCCACTGATGACTTGGCACTGACTCAACATACACCTCAGCAATACAACTCCACCTCAGCATGACACGTGGCAACATCAACACACCAACTTGGACGTATCTGGCAATGACATGTGGCACACTCTCCGCCGCCACGTGGGATCACATCAGAAACCCTAGCAGTCAACTTTTTCACGTGGGATCTCATGTGTCACGCAACACCACTTTTCCATCCGGGAGTATTCCCATGACCATGTTTACAACTCTTATTATGTGCCAGATCAAACTTGAGCTCATTCAACCGCGTCTCCTCCGCAGCTAGGCCGTCGAGATTACTATTTCCATGAAGAGAAATGATTTTACATTTGTAGCGAGAGGATAGGGACAAACTAGGTCCGAAATGCATCAAGTCTGAATAGCCAGAATATTTCATCACCGTCCTCAAATTTTCTTGCCTCCAATTATTCCTAGCTATCCAAGTCGAAAATAGAGAGCTTTGGGCCAAAAACTGTGTAGTTCAGTTTAATCTGTCAAGACCTCTTCATCAAGAAGCAGCAGATGGAAGGCAGCAGCTTCTTCACTCAAATCAACTTTCTCTAAATGCCCTGAGAAGTCTGCTACAAACACAGACATCAAACTCTGTTGTAGTTGACTGCCTCCGTTGCTGGAGAATTTATTTGACATCTTTTGAGTGGCCTAGTTTCAAATAGGAGGCGATCCTACTTTCAACCAATCATCTTTTTATCTTTGTTTTCCATCCCTCCATACAGGATAACAAGGAAGTCGTAAGTAATCCTCATTCCCTTTGAGTAATACTCTTCTCACTTTCAACCAGAGAGTTGCAATCAGTGTTCACGAGTTGGCCTTTACAAGGTTCATATATGTCAGCCAGCTTTCATCTGAGTCAGATTGACGATTCATTTTTTCCGAGAATCCTTTGCACTTCATCAATGTCGAGAGATGCTGCAGATGAACGGATGTATATAAAGTCATCAACTAACTCATTGTAAGTGACTGCACTCAAAGAAAGGTTTGATTCCTTTGCACTTTCAAATAGGTCCTCGACTCTGTCAATAAGTTTACATGCTGCATATCAGATTCCTATCATTACTCCTTTGACAGACCATCCATTCTGATATCTGCAAGATCATTTCACACTCATAATCGTAACAGACAACCTCGTCAATGCTGGAATAACATTCAGCAAAAGGCAAAATTTCCTCTTTCTTTCCTTTTCTAAAGAAAATTATTGAAACGTAAAAATAATTGAGGATACCTGGAATTGTACGGCCGGTGTAGGGTGGAACTCCGGTTAGGGTTTCCTGCAAAACAGAACCTCGGGCGTCTCCCGAGGGTGACACTCCGAAACTTAAGTCAGAAAATAGGGTTATGTCTGTATTAATTTGATAACCAAGATTGCGTACCTTTTATTGTGGAGTAATGGTCCCTATTTATAGACCTGGGTAACATCCGATTCCCACTAAGGTTAGTAATAATACACCCCCATACCAGAGGCGGTTAAACCCTAGGACCGAGTAATGGACCGGCCCACTGGAGATGACGGATATGGACTCGTCAATAATAAACAGTAAGCACTTTTAGTAGACACTTAAAATTTCCCACCAAATTTTTCCACAACTCAAGACCAAAATCATGCCACACAGAAAAAGGAAGGGCTCAACTGGAATGAAATAAGGTAAAAATCTTGGTTTTTCTAACTGATACCACAAACATCAAGATCAAAATCAGTTTATCCTTGCTGGAGCAGAGACCAAGTTCAGACACATCATTCCTTTGGAGCATAGACCTGACTCCAAAAGGCAAAAGCCCACCTCAGGGGACTAAAATTGGCGAAAACTAATGACAACCATATCGAATTTGAATCCATTGGGGCCAGGAGAGCCAAAATTATGAAATTACACATATAAAGTCTAAAACTCAAGTGACTAAAAATTGGCCAAAGTTAGTGTCAACCACTCTCCTAATTAGATAATTCCGTATCACAAAAACCAACATTTCAATATCACAAAAAGTTTACCTTTGAAACAAGGCAAACACAACAACCAAAAATCCAAAATAAAGGAATGAATTTAATTTCGGTTAAATGAGAGACATAATAACATCAAAGAAAGGGATTGAACGCGGCTCAAGGGCATGCTTGAATCGGTGAGATTTTCGTAGCTCTTTTGGAGATTTGCCGGAGCTTAGAAATTAAAATGTCATGTCCTTCGCTAACCTACCTATGAAGTGGCGCTCTTCTTGGGTTTGTCCAAGCCTCGAAATTCTACTCCTCAAATCATCACTCAGAATCGCTTTCGTCGAATTGGTGATCCGCAACTTCAGTCGTAGACGAGAAAGTTCGCAAAAGCCCCTGCCTTTCTTTGCAACCATTTCTCCGACAAATTACTGATAACAAATATTAGAGTGAATCGATTAACTCTGTCAAATGATAGGAATGCACACTGGCTGATAAAACAGAGCTAAAAGGAAGTAATTAATGAATATGAGATTTGAATTTCGTACAGTAAGAGATTTCGGATGATGGAGCAGCAGGCGCCCATGGCAAGCAAATCAACATTGAAAACTAACGTAGAAGCTATGACACGGGAATGAAAGGAAGAGAAAATAAACAGAAAAGAGAAAGGCGGTTAAGAAAAACTATATGTTTCCCTCATTATTCTTCTAGCAAAAGGCTAGAGAGGTTCAGTTGCAGAAAAGGAACCTCGTGTTTAGCAAATGCGTACTCTATATAAACTGTCTCTGTCGACTTTTTCGTCGACTTATAAAGGTTGACTACAAAATCGACGAGTGGTATACAAATTTGGGATCAAATTATTTTTAGTTTTTACCTAAAAAATGTGACATTGTAGATGGTGACAGTAGTCTAGTAGAATGAGAAGACTATGCAAACAGTTACATTAACATCTTTTATTCATATATGAATTTCAACACGCCATCAAAAATCTCAAAGCAAATTCTCTTTTAAAGTGTGTTTGTCTTCGCAAAATTGACAAAAACATTAAGTACCATAATCACTTTAATTTGAAGGTAAAGAGTATGAATCACAGGAATTATTCAGGGGTACCAAGCTCCTAATTCAAATTGCACAAAACAGAAACAAAGCTCATTACACATTTTAAAATCACGGAATCAAACACCTGAGCCAGATGATGTTCTCCTCATAATATGTTCCGTTGTCACGCAATGAGTGGGATGAAGGTGAAGATGAATCATCATCTTTGGCAATCACAATCTCCTTGCTTTCCCTCTTGGAAGGATGATATTCAATTGATCATCGTTCTTGTAAAAAGTTTTTATTAATATAATTTTAAAAAAGAAAAAACCATAGGACTGTTTCTATGAGTAGTCCTATATCCCTGAGTGTATATTGCTAAGGATTCTAGCAAAATGGTTGAATGATGTTACAAATAGCTCAACTGTCTTACTGAAATAGTTCATCACCACCCTCAAATTTCCTTGCCTCCTATTATTCCTGGCTATCCAAGTAGAAAACAAAAGAGCTCTGGGTCAAAACTGAAGTTTGTAGTTCAGTTTAATCTGTCAAGACCTTTTCATCAAGAAGCAGCAGATGGAAGGCAGCAGCTTCTTCACTCAAACCGACTTCTCCAAATGCGCTGAGAAGTCTGCTGCAAACAGAGACATCAAACTCGGTTGTAGTTGACTGCTTCCATTGCTGGAGAATTTCTTTGACATCTTTCGAGTGGCCTAACATCAAATAGGAGGCAATTATACATGCGTAGTTTCGACCAATCATCTTTTGTTTGGTCGATATCAAGGACTTCCAAATCTGATCTAGTTTATCTTTGTTTCCCATCCCTCCATACAGTATAACAAGGAAGTCGTAAGTAATCCATTCCCTTTGAGTTATACTCTTCTCACTTTCAACCAGAGAGTTGCAATCAGAGTTCACAAGTTGGCCTGAACTAATATATACCTTTACAAGGTTAATATATCTCAGCCAGCTTTCATCAGGGTCAGATTGACCACTCATTTTTTCGAGAATCCTTTGCACTTCATCAATGTTGAGAGATGCTGCAGATGAACTTAGGAGCAGGTTGTAAGTAAATAAATCTGGAGCAACTTCTTGACGTTCCATTTCTTCATATATTGAGGGTATTTTGTCCAGTTGGCCAACGGATGTATATAAAGTCATCAACTCGTTGTAAGTGACTGCACTCAAAGAAAGGTTTGCTTCCTTTGTCCTTTCAAATAGGTCCTCAGCTCTCTCAGTCAATTTACATGCTGCATATGAGTGTAAAAGAGCAGTGTATGTTTCTGCAGTTTTTGCACTAGGTGGGAGACCTTCAAAGTAACGCTCAGCTGCATTAATGCCAAAGACTTTGGTCATCAAGTCAATCCGGATAGCATGGTCAGAGTCAGTTATATCATACTCCTCCCGAGAGACCATCCATTCTGATATCTACAACATCATTTAAACTCATAATCGCAATGGACAACCACATAAATGCTGGCAGACAGCAAAGGGGAAAGATTCTGCTTTCTTTCCTTTTCTAACAGAAATTAATCAAAATAAAAGTAAACAGTAAACAGTTTCTAAGACTCTAAATTTCAGACCATGTTTTCAGAACTCAAGAACAAAATCATACCAGAGAAAAAGGAAGGCCTCAACAGGAAAAGATTACTTTTTCTACCTTACACCACAAACATCAAGAGCAAAATCAACTTATCCACATAAACCAAGTTCAGAGGTCAGACACATCATTTCTTTGGAGCATAGACCAGAATCCAAAAGGCAAGCGGGTTCAAAAGATTGCCTGTTTTATTTTATGTGATGTGCCAACTTACCATAAAACGGTATGAGCTTGTTAGGATCTAATACGAGAAAGACCAAATATAACCAGTATAATTTTCCGACTCGAATGGAGAGGCCTCAGTGTAGACACTGAAAAGCAACTATAGTTTCCCTGATCACCAACAAAATGATACACTAAACTAACAATCCAAAGCTCGTACGTGGAGCTAAACTAACAATTTACGTAGGCCCTGAATTTCATTTCAGATGCCAATTAATTTACGTACTTGGAGCTAAACTAACAGTCCAAAGCTCAGGTTTTACTTCCACACTACAACTGCTAAAATGCAATGTTAAACTTACTTAGTTGGACTCATCACACACCATAAGACAAGGCACATTTGTTCCTAACTCATTGAAACTTGGAAATCAGAACTCTTCATTTGTCTATTACAGCAAAGTCTAGGCCTTAAAGGAATAAAAATTCACGAAAACTAATGACAACCATATTGTATTTGAAGCATTTCTTGCCTGAAGAACCAAAATTATGAAATTACACAAACAAAGTTTAAACCTCAAAGTGACTAAAAAATGGCCAACGTTAGTGTCAATCCTTCTCCGAATTAAAGAATTTTGCATCACAAAAGCCAACATTTCGATATGATCAAAAGTTCACCTTTCAAAAAACAAGCAAACACAACAACCAAATATCCAAAAATAAAAGTATGGATTTTCAAATTTCAGTTAAATGAGAGACATAATAACATCAACAAAGAAAGGGATAGAAAGAACCTCAAGGGCATGCTTGAATCGGTGAGTTTTTCGTAGCTCTTTAGAGATTTGCCGGAGTTCAGAAATGGAAATGTCATTTCCTTCGCTAACCCATCTATGAAGCACGTTCGTGGCGCTCCTTTTGGGTAGTCTAAGCCTCAAAATTCTACTCCTCAAATCATCACTGACAGTAGCATCAGTGCTGGGCTCAGAATCCCTTTCATCGAATTGGTAATTCGCTACTTCCGTCCTCGACGAGAAAGATCGCAAAAGCCCCTGCCTTTCTTTGCTGCCATTTCTGCGATTATAATAAGTTATGACGCAAATTACTGACTAAAAATATTAGAACGAACCCATTAATCTAACTCAAATCATAGGAATGGAAATTGGGTAGACAAAACAGAGCTAAAATGAAGTAAATGATGAATATGAGATTCGTTTTGTGTACCGTATAATAGAGCGGAAGATGGAGTAGCGGGCGGCCATGGCAGCTTACAGACTTCCAACTGTTCAAAGTTGTGAGTTGTGACCCGTAGATATATCAAAATACTAAATCCAAACTAGTTAATTTACTTGAATGGAATCTCAATTTTAAGATACCTTTCAATTAAGTCCTTCAATTTAATCTTTTGGAGAAGAAAATATGAATTTCACTCTGTTGGAAAACAATCTCATTGGATCAATATTAGTATTCTCTATCCGAAATTATTGTCCAGTTTGAATTTTTATTTTTAGTACAAATTGAACTAAAACCGAAAATCTAGATTGGATAATCGTTTTGAGAAAGAAGGAATATTTAATAACAGGGTAAACATGAATTTTCACTTTTAGTACAAATTGAACTAAAACTGAAAATCTAGATCGGATAATCATTTTGAGAAAGAAGGAATATTTAATAACAGGTAAACAGAAGAACAACATGAATGTCAAAAGCTGATATGAACTGGATGAAACGTTACCGAGAATTCATCAAGTTTTTATTCCAACTTGTACATGAGTTAGTGCGAGAATCATAAGGTGTAGACTTTTAAGTGCGATAATAACATGTCAACGACCAAATTAATCTCGCACTTCTTTCGAATTTGACATTTCTGACTTCATTCATAATACTTCATACTACTTAGGATTTACTACATTATGTTACACACCATTCTGAACTTTACAAAAGTCGCTAATCAAATCAAACGGAGGCAATTGAGTCTGGGTTTCCCCTCTTGGTTTTACTTTTAGTCTTTTTGAGTCCTTGGATTTCACCATAGAAGTAAGAAAGGAAGCCCCAGAGAGACAAAGTCAGAGAAATCCCTTTCTCGGATCGGAATCTTTCATGGAAAAACACCACCGCCAAGGACTCTGTCACCGGGAGCAATGTAGCAATTACTATACCAGACAACAATGCTGAGGAAAGAAAGGTCACTCCTATGGCACCCAAGAAGAAAAGTTGCCACAAGATTGCACTGAATATCAGTGTTGTATAGTATGAGCCTTCACCAAGTTCATATGCACTTGCCTCTCTTGATAGTGCCTGTCAAAATATCATAAGATTTCATCAGCAGAGAAGCAAGTTTCCAGTTAGTTTACCACCATGAATTAGCAGCAGTTGGTTGTAACATAACAAAACACGACATAAACCTAAGTTGTAAAATGAACCCTTTAGGCTACGACCACTCAAACGGGACCAATTCAGTTTGTTTCACTAGAAACTCGAAACACGATATAAAAGTTGCATGTTGTAGTGAACCACCTGTTATGTTTGTTTCTTGCAAACAATATTACTATTCTATTGCAAAACTTATCATTCATGGATGAAAAACCAGTTGCCCCCTAAGGGCTAAAAACCAGCCTAATGAAGAGATATACCTGAAAGTCATGGTTGATAAGCATTCCAATAGTGCAGAACCCCGTTGCGAAGAGGGATATAACCAACTGCATCTCCATGACCAAAGAATAAGTCATAACTTGCTTGGCTTTCCTGCAAGTCAACTCCATGAGGGGCAAAACAAATCCGTAAAGAGCTGATGCCCCAAGAGTCATGAAAAAGCCTATGTAATACTGCAGATTGGATTCATGAGCCGGGCGATCATTGCTCGAATGGAATGCTAGCACCACAGCACCAACAGACAGTAAAAATATCGCATTGATAGTGAAGTGTGTGAATTTTTGCCTCACAAGGAGGAAGGCAAATGCAGCAGTGAAAGCCAATTGGGTGGCAATCACAAGAGCAGAAGTAGTTACAGGAAGGCGCGAAACGCCATAAGCAGCCAGATAATCATCAACACCAGTCAGCACTCCAATAACGGCACAACTGAGAAATAATCTAGGCTTGATGGAACAGAGTTTTACAGGATCACCGTTCTGTTTGTTTCGACGATAGGCGTAGGAAGCCAGGATTGGGAATACAAGAACTGGCCAGCCAGCTGTTTGTAACCAGCATGACAGCCATATTCTCTTGCCCCCTTTAACAAAGTACAGGCGCTGAACTAAAGGACCCCCACAGTTTCCAAGTCCTAACATTACGCAGTTTAACACCAGAAGTATTCTCTTCATTCTGCTGCTTTTCAGCTCAGGTTCATCTTGTTGTAATTGATTGCTTCGAACGTTATTAGACTCCATTTCTGGAATTTGAATATCGGCCTCTTTCTGAAGCTGCAATTTTTTATCTTAATTTGAGAAATACGGTATTAGTTGGCAAGTAAATTAAATTCAGCTAGAAAGACATACTCCGTCCCAAAATGATTGTCCTGTTTGCTATGGAAGGAGTATACAGAACATCAAACAGGTGCACGTCCGGAGAAGTGTGTTACTAAATAACCAATCTACCACTCAACTAAAATTAGATTTTTCGGCAGAGATAATCAATCTACTCTATGAAGTTATAGTGTTACCAGTACAGCATTGTTTTTGAAGATGAGTGAACTCCAAACTGATCAGAAAAAAAAAAAAAAAAAAAAAAAAGTCCTTTAACCGAAAGAATCGTTTTAGAGTGAAGGGTCAAACATTCAATTAATGCTCAGGTAACTCCCAATTTCAATATAAACACACAGTGACATAATCAATTCAAGCCACCAAGGATTTTATAGCAGGAATTTCAGTCTAATCAATTAATCATTCAAAGCAGCAGAAGATTCACATAAGGAAGAAACTGACGTGTGTAAGGTGCAAATTACAAGAATTAATTCATTTTAAAAGACATTAATAAATGAAAGTGGAAAAAAAACATAAAAGAGTGTTCAGAATCGAACCCAACAGAAAATGCAGAAATGTGGCGGCGCTAGTTTGAGTTTGGGAATGGTGATGAAAATTAGAAAGTAGAAGAAGATAGTGATGAAGAAGGAGAATATGCACCTGTGTTAACCCACTCGTGTTAGCTGACACGTTCTTGTCATGCAAAAACCAAAACGCACCCCCTTCCCCCCAGCTGCTTGTTTTTTAGCCACTGAAACCTTGACCAATATATATAGAAATGGTTGATGACTCATTTAAGGTCGGGTATTCGAATTTCACCACCTTGACATAAGAACATATTTTAATTTTTTGACCAGTTATTTTGATCATCAAATGTTTTCCTTTTAGAACTTATTAAGGGTAATTAGTTTTTTATTTTTTTTTATCCATAATAGACATGTATTGTATGAAAAAAAGAAAAAAGAGTTCGGATGTACTCCTTCCGATTCTTCTCATAAAGGCATTTTAATTTGTCTTAAATTTTACCTAGTATTATTATATCAATTGCAAATAAAACCTTAAATATATTTTATACATCAATAATTAGTAGAACACAATAAATATGAAAATACACTTTTAAAGTTTTCTTTTCAATTAGAAAAAGATATTTACTAAAACTTAAGTCAGATCAAAATGTCGTGTAATAACGACCGAAGGGAGTAGTACTTTGAGTAAAGGAATTAGTTTTTTTTTTATTATTATTATTGGATAGTGCCAGTAAGAATCGAACCTTCGATCTCCCGATAATTACTTTTGAGTAAAGGAATTAGTTTTTCATGTTGTAATCACATAACGGTTTAAATTATTTTAGGCCTAAAATGGCTAGTTTCTTAAAGTGTTCGTTCAAATCTCTAGACTAAAAGTGTGCGTTCAACAAAATATTTTGAACTCATTTTAAATCTCATTTTATTTTACTTATATTAGACCCACCATAAACAGAATACCATGATTACTGCCCGGCGGATTACGGCCGACTCTAGGTTAAGTTGGCCGGAATTCTAAGTACTACCAACAAGCGCATTATCAAGATCAGCAAATTAAAACAATATCGAATTTTGTATGATGACGATTATGACATTACTAGTGCTGGACAAAAGTGATCGAAAAAAATGGAGACAAACGAAGTTGCGTGATCATGACCAGAAACACTAATTCCAGAAAGAAGGAATTGACAAAGAAAGGCTATTAAAATGTTTGATTGTGATCACGATATACTCTTTTCGTCCAAAAAAAAATAAATACAATTTGTTAAATTAAAACAGTAATAAATAGAATAATAATAATAATAATATCAGATATGAAAAAGAAGAAATACATAGATGTAAGGAGAGCTATAAAGGTAATATATATATATATATATATATATTTCTTTCTTCCTAAAAATGATTGTGTTATTTGAATTTTTATTTTTAATATAATTTGTATTATTAATAAAAATCTGAACTAGACAATTTTTTCGGAACGGGAAAAATATATGTCAAAGTTGTTTTATTTCAGATTGTCAGGCTATAATTGCCTTGATAGAAACTAATGAAGGTATAAATAAGTAGATGTGTGATCAAATAGTACATTCTGAGAATTACTCTTAGTAATCCATGTGTCTTTAAGATAATTCTTAAAGGCAAAATTTATTTCTGGTCGATGAAACCTACAATGCTCATCATTCCAAAGTTATTGGCGTCTGGTGGTTAGTCATCATCAGGGCCTAAGTGCAATTATAATATGTTTCTTATCTCGCTTTTATACTTTTAAAACAAGCTTTATTTCCCATTGCCCCTTTTCAATTATTGGTACAGTTCTTTTAAATTTTTTAAAAGTAAAGCTATATGCACCTTGTTAGTAGTACTGACCTTTCTGTTAAATTAAGACTACATATATATATTAAGCTTTCTGAAAGAATAAAAAGAACATCCCATTTTTTAATCCAAAGTATGTAACTATGTATGCAGTCTTCTCTAAAGAAACGTTAAAACTCCAAAATAATTTTTTTTTTTTTAAAAAAAAAAGGAAGGCGAATTGGAGTAGATGCATGTACGTACAACCTGCAAATTAAAGGATCTTGCGTAAAATATTGTCACGATAGTAAAATAACATGTATGGTAACATAAGGTCTTGTCAATGTATAGCAAAAGTAACCTGTTTTTATAAAATGGAATAAATATTTTAATTACTGGATACGAATAATGTCACGAGTATAAAATAACACCATCAAATTCAAGGATGCTTGAATTGGACAAACATATGGTGTCACGCAGGGGTTTTCTTGACTCGATCCAAACAGGATTTACCATCAAGTTGGTTACCCTGTTGTAACTCCACGTATTCTCTATACTTCATCGCATTGTATTTGGCTTCAATCTCAGTACCTTCCTGATGATCACCTTCCTCGTTCTTCTGCCTTACCAGAAGCCTTGGACAGGGTCCAACATTTGTGTCCATGGCTGGGCCATTAGCTACGGCGATGGAGATTCTTTTCGCTTTGTTGTTCACCACTGCTCTGTGCAACACACTTTTGTACCTTCCATTGCTGAATATCTGTTCCAACACAAGCCCCAATATTTCAATTTGTTTCTTCATTATGAATAGAGTAAATCGCTTTAACATTTTTTAAAAAAAATTTAATTTCTCATTTCAATTGTTAACTTCTCATAACAATAGATAACAAGTGCCTATTAATATCAATTTGTCATTCAAATCAAAGATAATCAACTTATAATCGGTCAAAATCTTCACTCAAAACAGTTGAAGTTTGATAACAACACACTTAAAATTAGAAATTACATGAGAGATACTTATTCTGATACAGCTACCAAGCATGAGCATTGTAAATGCGCATATATATATATATACATATATATATATAGACTAATTTTTATTCGATACCCCCGTCTCATAATTTTTGTCCAATTTAGATTTTCAATTATAGTTTAAATTGTACTAAAAGTGAAATGTCAAACTGGATAATAATTTTAGGCTAATTCCACCAAGGAAAAAAAAAGGCAATAAAAGGGAAATTCATCGGTTACCTCAAGGTGATCACCGGTGTTTACCAAAAAGGAGTTTGGAAGAGCATTAACATTAACCCACTTTCCTCCATGTCGTATTTGAAGCCCACCGACTCCATTTTGAAGGAGAACGGTAAGAAGCCCATGATCGGAATGAGGAGGCATCCCCATTGCTAGTTCGGGCTGTGGGCATGGCGGGTAGTAGTTTGCAATGAAGATTTGTTGGCTTGACTCCAACTCCAGATTTTTGTGAATATAGTCTTCTTCTAAACCTAGGCTTTGTGATATTCCTCCCACTAATTTGCTTGCTAAATCTCGGGTTCTTTGACAGTATTCCATCATAAGCTCACTTCACCAAAAACAAAATTCAATTAACACAAGCTTAATTAGAGCCTATAATTAGTAGTTCAAGATTTTAATTACTGCAACTAAACTATATCATATTTGCATATGGTCGATATTCGAATAACGCTCTAATTACAGAAGTACTTCAACTTAATTTCATTTTCTATCTTTGACAGGAAGAAATCAAATAACCAGTCAAAGTTTAATTTTCGTTTCTACTGTCTTCTATATACATCTGGCTATAAGTATAAGACATCAAAGTTGAACACGGTACACAATACTGTCGCTTTAAAATAATTTAGTCTGGAAATCTGGCGATCGAAATGGACCCACCAGGATGTGAAATAAAACATGTAACACATAATACTCCCTCCGTCCGAAAATTATTATTCAGTTTAGCTTTTTATTTTTAATACAAATATATTTTGAGACAATGAGAGTATAAGATAATTTTTATCGAACTTTAGTGTCATCCAAAGACCACTGGTTTTGGCATGCATTAATACTTTCGGGGTTCGAAGCTTGCAATATCTGAGTTTAACCGTTACCACTGTTATTCTTGTCAGGCTAATGGTAGATTTAATATTTTTACTCACAAGGTAGCGGAATAATATAGCAAATGTAGCAAGTGAATGAATGAAGGAGGAAAAAAACATGTTGACCCTATTGTCCGGAATTTGAAACATTAATTAAAGTTCAGCGAGAGCTTCAATACTATTGTTAGAGTCATAGACCAAAGTGAATTGCTAGAACATCAAGTTAGGATGGAACATTATTCGTGTGATAAGCATATTCGAATTGCTTCTTTTTAATATGTTCCAAGTGTGTGATATTATTGATTGTTCTTTACTTGATCTGTGATCCAAATTAAAATGAAAATGTAACAGGCAAGTAGCTAGCAAATACCTGAAATGTTTGGGGTTATTTGGAGAGTGGAAATGAGGATGAACCAAGACCTTGAGGTAATCCCTCCAGAAAAAGGTCTGCTCTTTAGAAGCATTAAAGCTGGTTCCATATCTGATTGGATCCAATACATGCTTCGTTTCATATTCCATCTTCTCCTCCTCCGGCAAGTTAAAGAACTCATCCACTACCTCAATTACTGCCTTAATCAACCTCTCCGGGATCCCATGATTCACCACCATGAAAAAGCCCCAGTCTTGGCAAGCTTTACCAAGTTCCTGGATTGCTTTTAAACGCTGTTCAGAATCAGTGGAGCTAAGGAATGAAAAATCAATGATTGGTATTGAAGCTTGGGGGAAATCTTCTTGGACCGAGGCAGTGGTAAAGTGGGTGTTGGTGCTTTGATGGGCATATTTAGAAGGGATAGAAATCAGGCCTGGTGATTCAGCGAGTATTTTGACGCTTGAAAGATTTGATGATGATGATATTGGTCTTGTTTCAATTGCAGAAGCCATATGGGAAAAAAAAGAAGAAGAAAAGCTTATGTAACAGAGTATCTGAGAAAGCAGAGAAACTCTGTTTCAGAATGTGGGCTAAAATTAGAAGGCTCAGTGATTGAGTTTGAATCTGGTCTCTGGTACTTCAAGCGAGCCGCCTGAAACTCCCTGTCTACGTGGTGTTTTCGGTGATAAGGCTTACACGCGTCCTTAGTGGTAAGTTTGATATTTCTAGCTTGGTTTGTAAATGAGGAGGCGAGTATCAAATCTTAATCGGATTAGTCAGGACAATAATTTCAACACTAAGTGCATGTTATGGAGAAAAAAGTTAGTAAGGTAAATGTACTTTTATAAGATGTGACATATCAATCAATCGACCTCATATGGTTTCGGGGCCGGAGAGATTGGAGTCCACTCACATCAGATAAGTAACAATCACAAGGAGGACTGATCAAAATATAGGAGTAAGATCAGTTTAACGTACGACATAATGAATCATTGAGTTGATCAAAGGAACAAAAAACCTGTAACTATAAACAGCGGTAATATATAAGACTAGATAATCACATTCTTGAGGAGGGAGGTAAACTGAACTAAATTAAACATAATAATACTCCAAAAAAAAATCCACATTAAATTTTCAAATTTGTACTAAAAACAGTACAAAACTCAAAAATCAAAGTGGACTATTTTTTTGGGATGGAGGTAGTAGTTTCAATAGTGAATGCATCATGCTATTGCTAGCTGCTTTCTAATACACTCTTCTCCCAAAATTAAAGTAATATTTATTGAATTAAAATTGTATAATAAACCTGCTCAAACAAGAAACAGAACCAGGGAAATAAACCCTGGAAAATTTTCTTGATCCCGTCTACTTTTTAATTCTCTCCAAGATGGGCTTCTCCCCTAGCTTTGTAGATCTTTGCTCTTCCACATATTCCATGTAATTCATCGGAACATATTTAGCCGGAGCATCATCACAAAGCAACGGCGCCGACGGTTCAACGACCGTATCGGGCTATGGACCATTTGAAACGACCAGTGAAATCCGCTTTTTACTTCACAGCAGCCCTGTGGCAAACGCTCTTGTACTTCCCATTGCTCGCAATACATAATGTTAGAGTTACTAGCTCTACTTCTCTAATTGATTAATCCAACTTTCAAGATCATGTTTTTTTTTAATCAGAGTTGTAAAAATCAAAACTGATTTTATATACCTCTAGATGGTCACCGGTGTTGACGAAAATGGAGCCCGGAATGGCATTGAGATGGAACCATTTCCCTTGGTGCTGGATCTCAAGGCCGCCGACTCCATTTTGTAGAAGAAATGTCAACAGGCCAGGGTCCGTGTGAGGCGGTATCCCGATTGCGGATTCCGGATCGGGGCATGGCGGGTAATAATTTACGGCAAAAATTTGTGTAGCTGAGTCGAACTCCATGGATTTCTCGATGTATGTTTCTCCCAGGCCTAGACTTAGTGATATCCCCCGGAGTAACTTTCTAGCCAAACCTCGGTCCTTTCAGCGTATTCAGACACAAGACAGCTGAAAATTACAACAAACTAGCAACTTAGCTTATACTACTTCTTCTTCGCCGCTTTGAGTTTTCACAACTGTAACTTGATATCAAACCCCACAGAGTATGCCAAAAAGTTCATAATGGACTCGCAACTTGTTGGCTAGTGGCTTTTGTGTTCGATTTGGATTTACCAACAGACACTCCCTATATATTTTATAAAAATAGTTCACACTGTAATCTATGAATAGTAGACCGAAACCAGTAAGATTCGCAAATTGTATTTGTATGTGAAATACTTTTCTGGAATTGAAAGAGAATAATTTATACCATCGATCAAAATCAAAATCAAAAGACGCTTCCAGGACTAGCAAGCTAGCTACTACATTAGATACCTGAGTTGTTGGGGTTTAGGAGGACAATAGTACTCCGGATGAACAAAGAACCTGAGGTAATCCCTCCAGAACAACACCTTTTCGTTGGCAGGATTCGGACTGACGCTGGATCTGACCGTGACCGGAAACCTTGGATTCTTGATCTCAAAATCCAGTTTCTCCTCCTAGGGCAGATCGAAAAACACATCGCATTTTTCAAACAATGGGTTTGTCAACGTTTCCGGAATCCCATGGTTTATCACCTGTAGCGCGCATATGCAAAATTAATCATCAACCCTTAATAAAATGACGTATAATCTTTAATTCTTGTTTGAAATATCGACAGAAACATGCATAACTACAATACTTTGGAACAGAATGAATTAACGTAACGTACCATGAAGAAACCCCATTCCTCGCAAGCAATGTTTGCAGGATCGTGATCCTACGTAGGATCGAAATGGGGTCATAGAATCAAATCATAAATAAGACTAGTAGGATCGAAATAATAAGATTGTAAAATTAATTATACATGTTATACATGTTAATTGCTTTGATTTGCAATTGTAATTATCTTTAGATAAAGTATTTAACATTTAAACAAAAAGAAATGTATAAATTCAATTTTCTTTAATGAATTTTTGCATAACTTTTTAATAAAACTCTTCTCTTACCATTCTTCTTCTTAATTTATTATAAAAACTTTCTAAAATACATTTTTCTTAGCAATAAAAGTTTCCTTAAAGAATATTAGCCTCAATTGAATGTGAACAAAAAAAAAATAAGAGAAAAAAATCTCAATAAACTCAATTAAATCTCTCAATATAGTGGTGTTCCAATTTCTATTCTCCGATTTGCCACTTACCGACGTCAATTTATAGGATCATCCCGAGCATGGTGAGGTCACATAAAACAAAAACAATGTTATTTAACGTAATTTCTTTTAATTCTCAAATACCATATTTTAACAGTTTTTTATTCGGTGCTGGAAGGCTTAATTCCAAATCACAATATGAGAAGAAAAAAAAGTTACCTAAGTTTTTTTTAAAAAATTTGCAAACGGAAAAAATAATTACCTAAGTTTTTATTTTGATTTGGAGAAGAAAAAGAATTTACGAAAAAAATTTAATCTTTTATTTAGAATAGGAGATTAGCTTTTACCTAATCCATAAAAGAAGGAAAAAATTAAAGAAATTAATCACAATAGATGTGTTAAAATATAAGGGTATTATCAATAATTAAAATATTTTTGCTCTTTATATAACAAAATATCTATGTATTTATCAATTCTCATATAAGAATTTACAGATACTCCGTATGATTTAATTTAACGTCTGAAGGATGATCAATTCCTCTGGTCTACACTACTTGCATGGGTGGTGAGCCTTGATCAGTATCGAATCAATACTGTTGGTGATGTAAAAGTATTTTTGTTTCTATCAGAAAATAAACGATCAATGAAAAATTAAAAGTTTTTAAATTTGACACATTAGATTTATATCGAACACAAATTATTAAAAAACTGACTAAGAAACATGATACTCACGATTCAATGTATTTTTATATTAATTTTTCAATTTGGAATACTAAGTCAATTTGTAATTTTTATTTTTTAAATCGAACTATTATTATGAACGGAGGGAGTAATATTTTGTTAAAATTGAAATATATTCCTGTAATTTTGAGGCTAACCGATCAATGACAGAATATTTGAATAATAAAAAATTAGTTTTTTTTTTTTAATAAAGTGTCGGAAAACTTATGTTTAGGAGCATTAAAATATAACATCAAATTGATTAGCATCGTTTTGTTTTTTTTCCCTCCACTTTCGAAAAAAAGGAGCAAAAGTGGTGGTTAGAGTAGGGCCGGACCATTAGCTGCTTGCATACTTCCAGTTTTGGACTCGAACAGTGCTCGTGGCCCAACTTACGAGCGCGAGTCCAGAGCATGTAGACCGGCTAAGTGGTCCACTATTCCACCAGTCTTATGCCCCCCGCTCCGCATTTGGGTTACAGGCTCACGCCACCGAGCCCTGCAACTTAGAATGCCGTTTGTGGGAGTTATAAACAAGTAAAGGGAAGATCCCAGGTCCGATGTGGGACTAATAATAGTTTAGAAAACTTAAATTTCCCTTCCCTTCTTCCACATAATCAATCGACAAAAGCCCTGGTCTTTGCAACCGACGGAGAAATGCCGGAGAATAAAGGAGACCCCGCCGCCGCCACCACCACAAACAAAGCTAAACCGAAGCGTTATCATTACAATTGCTCTATTTGCTCAGTTCTACAACAAGAAATTCCCCACAAATCCGAAACTTTTTGATCGGCTGGATCGTATTATATCCTTTTTCTGAAATTACTTGTAACTTATTACGGCTTTTTCCCCCCTATTTTTTCCAATTGGAATAGGAATTAAGTTTACTTAGGATTTGAAAAACCTCCTTAAATATGTGAAATGATCTTTTTTTATATCTAAGTCTAATCTGATTTATCCTTTTCTATTTAATAACACATAGTGGAAAATTATATGAGGTCATAGTCATATAGGGGTAATAACAGAAATATTCATTTAATTCTGAGTCTTATGGTTGATTTCGACATTACGTATTGTTAAAAATGAATCAAGTATGGTTAATTTCTACTAGACTTTGCACTTCCACATATTCCATGTACTTCTTCGGAGCATATTTAGGTGGATCCTTATCACGAATCAATGGAGCCGCCGGTTCAACGACCGTGTCGGGCTACGGACTGTTCGCGGCAACCAACGGAATCCGTTTCTTATTGTTATTCACAGCAACTCTGTGTCAAACGCTCTTGTACGTCTCCCATTGCTGATCATTGTATATAATACCCAACGTTTAGAGTTACAAGTTATACTTACCTAATTAATTAGACCAACTTTCAATATCCTTTTATAGAGGCAAGATCGGGTGCATGTGACAAACAAACTTGATCAGGAAGGTTATCTATGGGGCACTTACGTTGTTGACGGGATGATCAATTCCTCTGGTCTTCAGTCATGCAACTGGCAAGCCTTGATCAGTATTGAATCAAAACTATTGGTGATCTAAAAGTAATTTTGTTTATGTCCAAAAAAAAAAAAAACGATCAATGAAAAATTAAAATGTACTAAATTTGACTCATTAGATTTATATCTAATAAAAATTATTATAAAATAACTAAAGAAAGATGATACTCTCAATTTAATTTTTTGATTTGAAATACTAAGTCAGCCAATTTATAATTTTTTATTTTTTAAATTAGACTATTATTATGAACAGAGAGTAACAATTTGTTAAACTTAAAATATATACGTGTAATTATGAGGCCAACCGATCAATGACAGAATAAGTATTTGAGTAAAAAAAATGAGTTTTTCAAAAATGATGAAAAAATATGTGTAAGAGCATTAAAATAAAACAGCAAATTACAAATTGGCATTGTTTTTCCCCTTCTAATTTCACACTGATAAGGCGAAAAAAGGAGCAAAAGTGAAGGTTTGGGTGGGCCGGACCATTTAGCCTCTAGCAATGAATTGGTTGGCCAGTCCAGGCCGTCCTGCTGAAACTCTAACGGGTGGCCAACCCGAAAGAGCCTTCAACAGTACTACCAAATTCCTCGGACTCACAACTGTGCCCGTGGCCCAACTGACGAGCTAACGCGAGTCCAGAGCATGCTAACTGGCCAAATGATCCCCTTTCCCAACACTTTGTTGCTCCCCTCTTAGCAGTTGGGTTACAGGCTCACGCAACCGAGCCCAGCTTGTCGGTTTGTCTCATCGTTGTGCTTATAAAGAAGTAAAGGGATGATGCACGCTTCCGATGTGGGACTAATATTTGAGAAAACTTTACTCCTTCCCTTCTCCATAGGCAAAGGCCAATCGACTTCAATTTTTGCAGGACAAACAAATAAAAAAGGGTATTTCAAAATAATAATAATAATAATAATAATAAAAAGGGCAATTGACCATGAATGAAGATTCCATAGAGTAATTTCCTTTCCAGAACCTGATTTCATAATCACGGAATAAATGAGTACCAGAAGTTCAAAACCTTGGTTCCCTTCCTCTGTCTCCTGCCATTTCCTCCTCGCACTTATTCAAGTAATCGAGTTTAATCAATGCTTAGAAAAATGAACTGATATTGATTAAAAAAAAAAAAAGTATTTAGTACAAACAAATTCAGGTTGTTTTTTTGTTAAGCAAAGTCAGTTTTCCGGGAACACTGAACTCATCAACTAGAAGAAACATATGAAATTGTAGTGCACTGAAGGGAATTATTTTCCATCGTCAAGGATGCGCAAGTAATCACTTGCAAAACAGTAAAGCTGGTCATAGATGGTCTTGGGAGACTTTAATGGTCAAGTTAATATTCTGGTCTGGAATATTTATGAGTATGGAGAGTTTTTTTTTTTTTTTAACTTTTTTTTTAATGAATGTTTGTTACCTTTTGGAGTTTCTCTTCCATTATGTATAGTCGTCTCTTGATAAAATATGGACGATCGGATAGCACTCCTATCTCGAAAGGTGACTCATAATGCGCGTCTAGCAAATCCTTGAAGACGTCTAAAGTAGATCACTTCCGAAAATGGTAAAAAAATTTTTGGCCATGGGCTATGGGTTATTCAGTATTGTTTTCTTCAATTGGAAGTCTCATTTTAACGGGAATAAATATTGGGACAATATGATTTTTTTTTTTTTTGTTTTTTTTTTGGGTACAAAGGAGTCACAGGCCTATGATATCATACTAAGTACGCATAGTGACTATGAAATACCAATTACATCATATTCTAACTAAGTAACTATCTCGTACGTGGCTTAGTAAATCTTAAAGGTGTTGAAAACTAAGTAGCAAGGACAGAGGAACCAACACCAAAAACTCCAATAGCTACTACTAATACAACTTAAGCCTATCCAAAATGGGCTTATCCCCAAGTCTACTAAATCTTTGCACTTCCACATATTCCATGTAATTCATTGGAGCATATTTAGCCAGAGCATCATCACAAATCAATGGGGCCGCTGGTTCAACTATGGCGTCAGGCGACGGACCATTTGCGACAACCAATGAAATCCGTTTCTTAGTGTTGTTCACGGCAGCCCTGTGCCAAACGCTCTTGTACTTCCCATTACTGACAATCTGATCATTTTATACAAAAACTCAACGTTAGAGCTAGTTACAAGTTATAACTTACCTAGTTAATTAGTCCAACTTTCAATATCGTGTTTTTTTTTTCTTCACAGTTGTAAAATCAAAATCTTAATTCTTATAAGTATACCTCGAGATGGTCACCAGTATTGACGAAAATGGAGCCCGGAATGGCATTGAGATGGAACCATTTCCCCTCATGCTGGATCTCAAGGCCGCCGACTCCATTTTGCAGAAGAAATGTCAACAGGCCAGGGTCCGTGTGAGGCGGTATCCCGATTGCGGATTCCGGGTCGGGGCATGGAGGGTAATAATTTGCAGCAAACACTTGTGTAGTTAAGTCGAACTCCATAGCTTTCTCAATGTAAGTCTCTTCCAGGCCTAAGCTTAGTGATATCCCTCGGAGTAACTTCCTAGCCAAACCTCGGGTTCTTTCAGCGTATTCAGACACAAGACCGCTGAAAACAACCGCAAATAATTTTGTCCGGTACTTTTTTATAAGACAGGCATAAATTTACTTTATATAGTAAGATCGAAGGTGAAAAGAAAGAAAGCTTTTCCAGGTACAGTTAGTTAATTAGGTCTATACCTGAGTTGTTCGGGTTTGTGAGGACAATAGTACTCCGGATGAACAAAGAACCTGAGATAATCCCTCCAGAACAATACCTTTTCGTTGGCGGGATTAGGACCAACGCTGGATCTGACCATGACAGGAAACCTCGGATTCTTAATCTCAAACTGAAGTTTCTCCTCCTCAGGCAGATCGAAAAACTCATCGCATGTTTCAAACAACGGGTTTGTCAATGTTTCCGGAATCCCATGGTTTATCACCTACAAACATACACTGGACAATCATTTTGGGACGGAGGAAAAGCTATATAGGAAGAGAAGCTAGCTAGCTATATTATACGTACCATGAAAAATCCCCATTCCTTGCAGGCCTTGCCCAGATCATGAATGGCTTTGGCGCGATCATCTGGATTGGTTGAGGAGAGAAGTGAAAGATCAATGACGGGAACGTTAACAACTTCAGGCCTTGCTTCAATGGATTTGGCTTTGTTCTTGAAATGAGTGTAGTCAGAAGGGAGGGACTTGAGGTCATGGGATTGAGCTAGTGATTTGACACTTGCCATTAATTTGTCCTGTTTTTTGGAAACTACAGAGTACCACTATTTGAGCTCACCAGCAAAATCAATGGATGGGAGGGTTTACACTTTACAGTTCGGTGTGGAAGTGAAGTAATTTATAGAGCTGGAAAAATCACTGAGCTTGATGTGAGCTTTTTGGGTGACCAGGGGCTTTTATGAGGCAGAAGTTACATAGTACCTAGTTGGCGGTTCTTGTCAGTTTCTACCTAAGTTTGAAATATAATTTCAAGGAACGGACCAAAAGTGTCAAATTAAAGTACCCTTTCACATTGAAGAAGCTTCCATTATTAATGTGACTCCATTAACTGAGTTCGCCATGTATAATCAAATGGATGAAATTAGAGAAGAGGTTTTTGCAAATACACAAACACTTAATCATCATATCCATCGAACTGGCTCCAAGGGTTGTTTTCTCGATATTTATGATTAATAATTTGATTTTAATTTCAGTATAACTATTGAACCTATTGAAAGCTCCAGATAATTTTTGGCAAACACATATAAGACTATGATTCACTTTGTCCCCTGTATCCATAAAGTCTAAATTATCACACTGTTATATTTCAAGTTTTCAACGTTACGATTTCTTATATTAAAATAGAATAGAATTATCATGGTTACACTATGATATAATTGGTGTTGTATATGCTCGAAACATAATAGTATGATTTGGATTTTTTCTTTTGAAAAAATTATTGGATACATCAGTGCAGCAAGTACTAACACTCCCTATTTTGGTGATATAATTCTTGTAGAAATTATCTCTCCCTCTAAACTACTTTACCCCTTTTATTGTGTCTAGCTGCATAATTCTAGGTGGTACAGCAGCTGCACTGAATAATTTCTCCTTCTTTTGTACCAAAAAAACTGAATAATTTCTCCTTCTTTTGTACCAAAAAAAATAAAAATAAAAAATGTAAACGGTGTAAAGTTCATACGGAAATGATGAATTGCTTGATTTGTGCGTTGCGCGACTCAGGTAAGCTGCCTGGCCAACCAATGAAAATTACAACACAAAAGAAAAGCGTCACATTTGTGCATTGGAGAACCGCCGACCACGCATACCTACAAGGCTACAATTCAATCCCATATCGCACGTCCCCGAATTTGGGGCTACCTTCACAATTCAACGTTACAAGCCATCACCAGTAGAACTATTTTTTTTTTCTCTCTTTTTTATTTAAAGGGAGTAGTAGTAATTTTTTCCCATATACCTGACTTGAATCTATGACCTATTAGAAACAGGAAAGAAATCATGTCATACGTGATACAACTAACTAATTTAATTAGAGAAAAGATGTACTTAGTGATTTTCTCCAAAATGTTACGTGCCAATAAATTTGTTAGGAGTCGTTATCCATTACTTGAGCACAAATACTTTGAAAATGTTTTATGTTGCAACAATTTGTATACTGGCTTGGTATATCTCCTTTCTTAATTACAAATTTTGAACTTATTTATGTTGGAAAATTATTTTCGAACGTCTCAAGCATTTTATTTTATTTTATTTTTTTAAAAACAAACTTCCTTTCCTTTTTGGGGTGAAGCCAATACCGTACCCGTTAGGGCTTAGCAGGTTTAAAAAGTCCAAAAAAGAAGCATGCATATTATGAACATCTAGAAGCGCAAATTAATTGGGCATGTTCTAGAACTTCGTTTATGCCTGCATCAACAATCACTGGCCATTGTCGACATTTTGTGCCCACTCCATAATATTCAAATTTTATATCGGTAAATAAAGGTGGGTTTTGTTGACTTGAAGTACTGCCGTTATTTGCTTAATCTCCGATCCGCCACCTGCTGTCGGGTCACCAAACAGATCCCGCTAAAATCCCTCGGAGAATTAAATTAAAGGTTTCACTTTCACACTGAACAATTCGTGCGGACTTGCGTCATGTGTAGTGTTCTATCCATTAGCAACGATATCCGATTAAAAATCGAATCGTATTCTGACAGTTAGATCATTATACCTTTAATCGTGAAGTTCTGTTATCACATATGCAAGAAGTACGCAGCTGAAAGAAGAAGTAGGAGGTAGCAGACGCCTAATAATTAATCTAAATAAAACATAGGAGTTACCGAATAAAAAGTGCATGCGTGTAGAGTCTTCTCCTAGTAAAACTATCCTTTTTCAGAAAGATTCACTTATGTTGTAATCGTTCAAATATCTCCAAAATATTAAAGAAAAAAAAAATCTGTATCCAATTCTAAGGTATATTTTCCAGGTTCTCGGAAATGAAGGAATTTTATATATTTTTCCCTTTTTATAAACAGGAGAAGAAGCTTCCAAAGTCCTTTTGTTTTATTTTCTTTTTGAGAAATCCAAATCCTTGACCAAATTACTCCTACCTAATATTACTGGGATTTCAAGGTTGAGATGTTGCATAGGTGGCATGTTGTCTGATGAATATTTATATTCCTGCAAGAAACGAATCATTACTTTTAAATCTTGCTTTGAATCCGGTTGCTCTGTAAATAATGCATTAAACTCTAAATTTTGTTTAACTCTAAAGATTTCGTTGTATCATTTATTTATGTAACCGGTTTGTTCAAAATATTTTTTTTCCTTCTCTTACGAAAAATATATTTGTACAACTTTCGTACAGATTGTTCCTTTGAATTAACATGGGGGAATTTCCAAGCCCATCGGCACAAGCATGGTATACTGATAGGGCCATCGAAGGCGACTCTAGAAATATCTTATTACTTCTGTATATATCCCTTTCCTCACGGAATAAGATTTTCATTTTTAGTATAAATTGTATTTCTATTAAAAATAAATTCTAAACTGGACAATTATTTTGGAATAGAATAAATATTAAAATTAAAATTCCAAATTAAAAATTTAACTTGAGATGGAGTATAATAAAGATGTCAAAGAGTAAAGATCAAAGAAATCATAGTCTATTGAATGATTGACGAATGTAGAATCTTTGCTTTATAATTAATAGTAGTCGTGGCAAATTTTTTACAATATTTCAGACACCGAGTACATAATATTTTTTTAAAAAATGATATCCATGAGGAGATGGAAGAGTCCATGAGGTTGGCATTGAATGGTATGGTAATTTAACTTAAGGAATTGAAAAATCTAACGGTAGTACTTGTTGATAGCATAAAAGGTAGAAAAATCTAATTAAGCATGAAAATGGCGTGCAGAAGGGATGTCAATTTGGTTTGTTAGTCCCAGAAAAATAAAATAAAATAATGACAAATAATAAAATAAATACTTCATTTATTGACCTCAAATTCTCATATGCACGAGACAAAGACACGTGCTCGGTAACAATAGTTTCACCAAATCATCTTAGTACTACACAATAGTGCGACATCTTAAACCTAATCATACCATATATCTTAGGACGCAATAGTACCGTTACAGTTATTATTATCACGGATTGTGGCAGAAAAAATAAATGTCTTTTATTATGGTTGTACAAAAAAAGTTTAGTACAACTTAAGCCTGTCCAAGATGGGCTTCTGAGGAGGCCTTGTGGTACGTTGAACTTCCACGTATTCCAGGTAACCCATGGGAGAATACTTTGCCGGAGCATCCTTGAGTAGTGGTTCTGCCGGTGCGACGATGGTGTCCGGCGATGGACCGTTGGGGATAACCAATGAAATCCTTTTCTTACTGTTGTTCACAACAGCCCTGTGCCAAACGCTCTTGTACTTCCCATTGCTAACGATCTGATCATTTTTCAATATTTTAAAGAAAAAAAAATGAGTCATGAATTGATCAATTTTATCATTATTGTATGGTAATTACAAATTAGATCTTTTTTTTTTTTTGTTGTCACCTCTAGCTGGTCTCCGGTGTTAACGAAAATGGAGCCCGGAATTGCATTGAGATGGAACCATTTTCCTTCGTGCTGGATCTCAAGGCCGCCAACTCCATTTTGAAGGAGAAAGGTCAATAGACCATGATCAGTGTGAGGTGGTATGCCGATTGCGGATTCCGGGTCGGGGCATGGCGGGTAGTAATTTGCAGCAAAGATTTGGGTAGTTTTGTCCAAGTCCATGGCTTTCTCAATGTAATCTTCTTCCAGTCCTAGACTTTGTGATATCCCTTGGAGTAATTTCCTTGCCAAAACTCTGGTTTTTTCAGCATACTCCGATACAAGATCACTGAAAAAAAAAATATTCAGCAAAAAATAAATAGTCAAAAATTGAGAAATTCTTTTTTTTTTCCCAAAAAATTGTGGAACTTAATTTGATGAAAACTAAAATAAACATAAGAATATAGTAGCATGTACTATATAAACTCTGTGCAGTATTAAGGAAATTGACACTAAATAATTAAATTATATAAATTGTAAGGGTAGCGCCTGCCAAAAGATTTGAGAAGAGCAACTAGTGTTTTGGCTTTTTATTCTGCAAACAAACGAGTCTCGTCAGTCGTCAGTCGTCGATCTTGGCTTTGAAGTTTGATCAATTTGACTATCACTTTCCTCTACAGTTAACATTTTGCAATTAAACAGTAGCATCCAATTTCGCTTTTTCTTCCTTCATTAGTTACTCGTGTCGAACTAGGAAGAAACAAAAACTTGGTAAACGTTTTGGGCCAGTTTAACTATGATTCGAGTTTGAATTCGAGCATGGGCATGCAACAGTAATTAAAATATTTATTGGAAAACATTTGTCTTAAAATGGAACTACTCGGTTCGAATTCAAATTAATCGGAGTAATGATTTCGGACACTAATTGCATAATATACCAAAAAAATACAAATTTATGTAATGAAATAATAACTCAATGATGTGTCTCCGATAGACCGGTATCTCATCCCGGGAATAAACAAGAAATAACGGACGACAACACATTACTACGAAGATGTTTGAAGGGGAAAAGAAAAGAAAAGAAAAGAAAAGAGACACACTTACTTGAATTGTTGGGGTTTATCAGGGCAATAAAATTCGGGATGGACGAAAAATCTGAGGTAATCCCTCCAGAACAAGACTTTTTCATGCTCAGCCCCGATGGTAGACCGGACCATGAAGGGAAACCTCGGATTCTTGGTCTGAAACCTCTGTTTCTCCTCCTCAGGGAGATCGAAAAACTCATCACATGTATCGAACAACGGGTTCGTCAGCGTTTCCGGAATCTCATGGTTCACCACCTGCAAAGTACATGCAAATTTGAGGAAAAAAAATGACTATCTGTTAATGAAA